ATCTGAAATCTATACCGTATATAAAATAAATCCTAGATATTATCTTATTTGACAAAATTTGTTGATTTGCTATGTAATATTTACATTTGCAAATATTTTTCCTAACACATTCATTGCAAGTTAGATAACAGTTCATTTTCTCATGAACTAGGTAAGCCTACATATCTCTATTGTGACGTCATAATGCCACACTTAACGTCAAAACTATAGGCCTAGTGCAAACTGTTCTGTTTCCAAAATAATGGTTGAATGACATTTATAAATTTGAGCTTCATGATCACGCGGTTCATGAAATATACTGAGCTGAAGCGTCTTTGTTCATGTCCTCGTGAATTTTCAAAAATTAAATCAATTTTTCAAATATATTCCCGTGAGCATGATGAGTTGAAATTTTTTTAAAATGTATAACGCTATGCTCAAAATAATTGTCTTTCTCTGGTATACCTGGTACCTCCGTAGTTCCTCGATTGTCAGAGTTAACCTCTCTTAATTTCGTCTGTCATTCTTACATGCGTATTTTTGGCTAGATTTGTGAAAACTTGCAAAAAGAAACCTTTTCTTTTCAGAAGTATGTTAAGTTTCAATTTTTTTTTACCAAATACGACGCATAAAACAATTTACTACAACAAATTTTGTGCCGATGATTCAATGTTTACAATGTACATGGTCGATGTAAGCGTTGAAAATGCTAGAGAAGATCTTACACAGGAAAACGATTTCCTCTGCGATAATTTTTTAAAATACGTTCATGTCCAGCATGCAACCTGAAACTGGTCTATACACGTATATATGAAAATTGCATTCGTTTATGCTTCCATATAGGCCTATATTCATTATAATCACTGAGAAAATCACGCCGTCTGAAGCTTCTAGGAAATGATTATCCATTCCGGTCAAGTTAAAGGAATAAGGACATTAAATTGAAAATGTTCAACATCATAACAGCACACTTATGCTTAACGAACAATCCATACACTTGAATCAAACAACAACGCTAAAAAATCTTTTCTTGTCATATGAAAGGAATGTAAAAGTAATGACACTTTCCCTGTTATGTCAGCTCAAGTATGCAGTGACCTGGTAGGTAGTTCAGAGAAGTTACTACCGTTGGAACGGTTTAATATTTTACGGACACCCTTACCCTAGCCGCGTAGCGGATGAAATATATGGAGCTCAAAAGTCCATTAAACAACACGAATTTCGGAGCACAGCAAACACGGTCCTCTAAAACATCAGAAGTGGGATCAGGTGCCATTGAGGGGTGAGCATCCCCTGCCGAACGGTCACAACCGTTTTGTGCTCCTTGTCATGATCGGGAAATAACGGAAAAAAACGTCAGTCAGTAACTTAATGATAGATTCTATTTCCTGACAAGGTCATTGTATCGACTATAGAACTTAAGAAATAATGACTTTATTTATAAAACAACTATATACTCCAATTCTGATCACTTGATCGAACGCGTTTTGTTGAAGCAAGGGGAAAATGGTTTGTTCGCATTCTGCATAGTGACTGCAATGGAAATAATCACTCGTGCTCAGTCGCGTGATTCGGGCATACTGGAAACTTTCCTACAGTACTAATAAAATAAATTTAAAGCCTCTTTTGTTTTAGGAATACACGGTGCAAGAAAGTTAGAGAGCCAGAAATGGCGTATAACAAAATCTTGTGCAGTGTTTTGCACACTTTGTCCTTCATCTGGGAAAAGTTCGTGGTCACTTATCTTCATCTCAATTTTCACAATTTTTTGTTGTTACAAAATAAAGTAAAGTATGTCCAGCTCTGGTGAGCCGACCAAATCGTAGACATTTAAACTATAAATGTTTCGTACGCCTTATTCCTGCAGATCACACGCCAATCACGCCCATCTTCTTTGTTACTATTGGAACACTTGGGCACAGGGCAGGTCATTCCCTCAGAATTCAACTCTGGCCTTTTTTCATCATCCAAAGTATGGATCTCCTCCATGGGAACATCTAGCTGTAATACATCCATCTATAACTTAAAAATAAAGATAATTACGAGTACATTAATTACATACATATGTAACATGTATTTGGAAATTATTCAAATCCATTATACATGTATCTAGCTGATGATTAAAATAAAAACCCACATAGTTAAAACAGTCATGAACTTTTTATTAAGATGGACTAAATATTTGCTTTGGCTTAATTAGTCGCCCTGCCTTACTTTTTAATTCTTTAGATTGTTGTGGGGTAAGTGCAATTTCAGGAGAGCCAGAATAGGAGTCATTGTGTACAGTTGTATTTGGTTCTGATGTTGGAGTGGGAACTTCCACACTAATGTCACGGGTATTCCAGTCTGAAGGTGTTGTTAAACCCAAATACGGTTTTAGATGGTCTATGTGTGCTGAAATTGGCTCTGAATTAGGGGATTTCTGAATTTTACATGTCAAATATGAAATTTTATTGATAATGAAATATGGTCCTGTCCAACCTAACCCTAACTTTTCATTTGCACTGGGAGGATACCATCTCCAAACCCATTTTCCAACACTAATTTCCCTAAATTTTGCGTTTTTATCATGGTCAGTTTTCTGTCTTTTTGCGGATTGTTTTAAATTTACATTTGCTTTTTCAAAAGCATTTAAAAGAGATTATTTTAATCACTCAACATATTTGATAGGGCATTCTTCATTGGAACATTTGGTGGCTTCCCTACTATTACATCCAAAGGACAGTTTATATCTCTGCCAAACATTAAAAGATTTGGGGAACATTTAGTACTGTTGTGTTCAGTAGCACGATAAGCCAGGAGTAGAAATGGGAGTTAATCATCTCAGTCATCGAAATTTTCTGAACCAAAATTTCTAAGCATTTGTCGAAGTGTTCTATTGAATCTTTCTACAAGACCATCTGACTGAGGGTGATAAGGGTTAGTTCTTGTTTTTTCAATGCCTAAAGGATTACAAACATGTTTGAAAAAATGGGATTCAAATTCTCTCCCCTGGTCCCTGGTCTGTATGTATCTGACCTGGACAACCAAAACGACATATGAATTCTGTAACTAATTTATCAGCAACAGTAAGGGCTGTATGGTCTCGGATTGGAAAGGCTTCTTTCTAATTGTTATAGTAGTCCCCTATTACCATGATGTATAAATTTCCATTGACAGTTTCAGGTAATGGTCCAACTATATCTATTGCTATGCATTGCAAAGGGGCGCCCACTTTAAATTGCTGAAGGGGGGAATTTCCAACCCCGAGACCTGGCTTACATCTATCACAAAGGTCACATGACTCACACCCTCTTTTGATACATTCATCCATTCTAGGCCAATAAAACCTACGTTTAATTGATGAAATTGATGTTGTGCATATTAATCTACTATAGGTATAGTATTTTACACGTGTGTCTTCGTTGGCGGTGAGTGTGTCTGTTCGTTGTACATATAGATAATATACAATAGAACATGTACTTGCTTCTCTTACCAGGACATATCATAATCATCATAGATTAACTTTTCTTTGTTATAAACTTTTACTTAAAGGACACATGACACAAAAAATATTTTGTCTGCATTCAATGTATTCATCATTCTTAAGTCAGATTCTTACACTGAATCTGTTAAACAAGCATCAGATAACAAGGCACAGCTGGATAAAGTAATATACAAATACTAGCCGAAGCAGTTCTCCGAGCAATGCCGACAGTTAATGAGATAAGCGTCACGTGGGTGTTTTATACGTCAGAGGTGAGCTTCTTGCAAATTCTCACTGTATCCTATTCAAAACGATGGAAGGAGATTCGTCAGATGGATTTTCTCTTGCACCAGAAGAAATTAGACCCTATAATTTTGAGCCTTTATTAGACAACACTCAAGGCAGAAATGGAAGTGAATCTGAAGATTCAGAGGACAGTGATTTGGGGTTAAATGATGAGGAAAATGCAGTAGGAGGAATTGCTACCCGAAGACAGAATTTAGCATGGTATGAAAACAAAACAAATATTTGCCTAGTTTTAGCTTATAATTTAGATGTGACAACATATGTTTACACTTTCATTATTAGCATTATCAATACATATATTTAATATATGAAGAATAAATATAATAATTTGATTTATTCATATTATAAGGTGTGTCTGTGAAAGGTGCCAAGTAATGGAAACTGATGAAGAATGTTTATGCTGTCATGAAATTGCACCCATTTTAGAAAAAATAGAAGCTAAACATTTAAAGTGCATCACGGAACATGATGGGTTTCAGGGAAATTGTCTAAATATTGATGTCCTTGAAGTCTCCATGTATGAGTTTATAGACACAGATGGGCCCCTTGATGACAACGAACCAATTCACCAGTAAGATAATCTACACAGACAACTTTTTATATTTAAGCATACAACTTTTTATATTTAAGCATATTAAAGCTGTTTTTCCTTCAAATGAATTTATATATAAAACTAGCATTTTCTTCATGGTTCATTTTATATTACAGATTATACAGATACTTAGCATACAGGCGATTTACTCGTTGGATCTGGCATATCCTTGGAAAAAGGAGACGAAAAATTATCCCAGCTTGTGTGGTATCCAAAATCAGACAGACATTTCCATCAGAGTCTTATGCCGGTTTCAAATATCCACGTTTATGAAGTGTATAAATTCCATATTGAATTAATCTTGTATTAAATACAACACATTTAAAATTCATTTCATCAAAATTTATCTATTATATCTAGATGTCCTCCTGTTAATTAGTTCATTTTTGTCAAAGTCTTCATAATCATGCGTCAGTGGACGTGGTTCATCTGCTTTATGGCCATACACAAAATCATCGTAGGCAAATTTTAAGGAAGGATAGTGCCGTCTTCTAACAAAAATCTTTTCCAGCAATTTTCCAATATACTCTGTGCAATCAAGAGAAAATAAGAATGAAGATCTTGGAAGGAAATCAAATAAGTGATTTTGGATGATTACATTATATATTCAGTGCGTATATATGTTAAGATTATACTAGCTTTTGTTAGTCATTTCTGTTACTTACCAAAGGTTGCAGACACTCTTCGAGGTTTTACTACACATTCCTGTCCTTTCTTTGCCTTTGGGTATGATACACTCCACTGTAGTTCACCCTCTCTTGTTAATGACTGACGTGTTCCATTTTCATTGTAATGAAATGCAGCAATACACAACCTGTTGAAAATGAATAATAAATAAATGTTCTAAGGATTTTTTGATTTATATTTAGAAGTATACAGAAATTAAAAAAAAAAAGAAATGCTACAAACCTTGCATGCATTGGCATGTAAAGGAAGTGCGTACTCTTTGGTGCAAAATGGTTCACCACAGAGTGAAAAACTTCAAGCCCATATGTCTGGTAAACAGGTGACAATTTTGGAAGATCTCGAAGAAGATAGGGACTCTCCACGATATCTTTTACCATCTTGTGGCATCTAGAGCCTAGAATGAAAAAAAAACTGTTAACATTTGTGAGATGCTATAAAATCAAACAAAAATAAGTTTTTAGTTGGATAATGACCTTGCTGCATCCAGTCTCTAGGTTCATCTAACTGGCCATGTTCACATCTTGGAAAGACCTCAGAATCATGTTCATGGACATTGATAAGATGGCTGCTTAAGGATTTCCATTTGTCAGTCTTCATTTGCCCATTGTTTCCACTTGATGCTGCAACCCAGTATGTGTGGTTGACGATACTTTTAATCCAACGACGGATCTGACCAGCACCACGCTTTTTTGCAGCTGTCTCTAGTTTTCTTGATATTCCTTAAATATTTGCCATTAAGTGATTTACTACAGGCTAAAGATATCATATTTTTTATCATTGAAACAATAACAAAAATCTAAATTACCCTTTGCTACGTGCCACACATCAAAATAGTGATTGATATTGGGTTTTTCAGTCTTCATGTATGACTTTATCATTGCATGGCGATCTGTCACAAGATCATGCACCTGGACACGATTTAATTCCGTTATGTGCCTTAGTCCACGTTTAAGGCCTTCTAACTCCATATGGGTAGATCAAGTTCAAATAAAAAACTACAAAAAATAGCTTTAGTAAATGGAATTTCAATTTCCTTATCTTATTCTACCTGGACCAACTGTACATCAATGATTTTATTAGTTTCAAGGTCAATCAGTGAGTAACTACAGTATTTTGCACTGTAACCAGGTAAGTCACATCTTCCATCACCTCCAAGAACCACATGAGGTTTCTCTGTTGAAAAAGTACATATAGTGTTATACATATAGTTATTATGTATATGTGAAATGAAATAAAAGCTCTATTAGTTACACGCAAATATATGTATTTATTACTTACGGCGCAAATCATCAAAATATTCTGCTTGCTGTAAATAGAATTCTTCTATGACAGCAGGAATACTATAACAGGACTGAAGACGGGAAATAGTGCGGGAACTTGGGACTAAAACTTTCAAATGGTTGAAAAGCATTAAAACTTTTGATATGCTGTTCCCACTTAAAAGCATTGCACTTGCAAGATGTAAATTAAACCATGGCATTTTCTTATGTGTTGACTGTGACTGCCATCTGTTCATGTGACCATTTTCACATGTAGAAACTGTAGATATCATGGAACCTTTGCTGTATTCTACAAGTGGGACACTTTTCCCATTACAAACATTACAGACAGATAAAAGTTGAGAGAGTGCACTTTCTGACACAACATAATATTTCTCTTCTGATGGATTATCTGTTTCATCTAATCTGTAATTACAAGTCTCCTCTTCATCTAATTCTGAATCTTCAAAATCGCTTGCATTGAAATCAGAGTCTACATCTCTGTTATAATCTTCATCAGAACTTAATTCATCATGTTCATTAGTCTCCATATAGTCATCAATGTTGATGTTGTCTTCTTGACTATTTGTATTTCCTTCTAGTGCAGTAGGCTGTCTGCACTTAATGCAGTACTGAAATTCACTGCACTGAATTTCAGCATCAACTGTCTTGAAACCTATTTTTAAGGTCTTCCGCTCCAGGCGGAAGACCTTCTACTGATTCTGATGGTTAAGATTATTCTTATTATTCTTTTTTTTTTTTTCCTAGACGCCAACTTTGAGACCTCATATCTTGCTCATTTCTCAACGGATTTTGCTCAAATTTGCAGGGTTTAAAGACGTTACAAAATTCTATCAGAATGCTGTCAAACATTTCAAAAACCCACTTCCGCTTTTGGGTTATCTCCCTTTAAATGAAAATTTAGGGGGCTTCATTTCCAGACAAAGGCTCAGAGACTACTGAAGCTGGAGTAGAAATTCTACTGAATTTAAATAATAGAAGCACTGAAGTTGTGCACATCGGTTTTTGTTTTTCAATTTCTGTATTCAAAATGGCGCTAGAGAGGGGTCAAAAATTAGAACGCCAAAAAGAGCGAAAATTTACACATATTTTCCTTTTTATCTTCTAAACTAAAAATATTTTGATAAAACATGTAGAATAAAAGTTGTGCACAATTTTAAGGCCTTTCATTTGAGACCACTAAAAAGGATCTGGCCCCTAAAATTAGGGATCTGGGGCCCTTTAAATTTTTTGCTTTATAACTCAAAAACGGTAAATATTTCGAAATAGCTGCCGTAATTAAAGTTGTTATTTAACATCTTATTGATCTCAAGAAAATGTTATTTTGTTTGAGTCTTGTGTTCTAAATGAGCTAGAAGCATAACACATATACAGGTAAGTGTTTTCATTCAGCAAGTAAACAAGAGCTCTTCATGCGTGTAATTAAAATAAACTTACTATAAATAATAAACCTTGCTATATTAGATGCTAATATTCTTTAGAATCAGGTTTTTGAAGTATTTTGTGCTTTATTTCCAAATTATTTACTGACAACTTTCCCTTTTATTTCGTTTGTTTTCAAATTTGGATAAACCAGTCTACTAAACAGGGAAAAAAAGATAACCTTTTCTTCTTATCATATAAAAACAAACAATTAAGTCAGAAAATAAAACAAAACTTTAAACATAGACTATTCACAGCCATTAAGTACACGCCTTTTACATTCACCTCGTGTGTTTACAATTATGTAACCCCTCCCTCGATAGCGCGTGGCAAAGGAGGTCACCGAGGATCAATCGGCGTGTGAACCAGCGACCTAAGGTCATACACAAAACAAACCATAGAATGTCCATTCCAAATACATTTTAACTAAGTGATGAGTGGATAAATATGTTGAATCTTTCAGATTATTTCATATCTTTGATTAAGTCGCTAGTACATTTCGATTTATATTTTATTCGCTCAATTACAAGAAAGTTGCATATTTATTCTTATAAACATTGCATTGTTGAGATAATTGCGCTTTGTGGAAAATTACTTTAAAATCATTTCGAATCTTTCATATGATTCCGTCTTACTGTTTAATTATCACTCGTTCGTTTTAATCAGCTAGTCTTAAGTGCCTTTCACTTATTCACTTCAAATTCAATGCATTTTGAATGCCGAAAAGACCACTTTCTTTGCGTATTAAAGAAACAGTTTATTTATCTCTCTAATGTTATTATTTAACGAGTTGCTATTTCTTTCATGAACATTAAACAGGATGTATATAATTAAAAATGATAATTGTATGTAGAGGTCACATTTTTAATTGTCAGGAAAATCGAAAATAAAAGTACTTTTGAGTTTGTATTATTTTCTTCCTAACTTACAATATTATTGCATACAAAATACTAGGTCGGATGCATGTAACTTAACCGCCTCAATATTTCACTTGTATTTGAAAATTCTATCGAGCGTCGAATGAATTTTACCAGTTAAAAAGTGTACCAAAAAAGAACCCTTCCTATGCAGTTTTCTTTGGGAATCAATTGGCTTAGATAGTCTACTCCGACATGTGTTGACAAAACTCACGCAATGAGAAGCCATACATTTCAAACTTGTGACCTCTTGGTCAGTGCATGTGAAGATTACGCATGGCAATTAGTGTCTGGAAAACGAAGTATGTTTTATAAGTGATTTAACAGGTTAAGATTTGTTCTCATTTTAAATTAAATACAAACACAAACCCTTTATTTTCTTTGTTATTTTATACCGTCAGTTATATCAGATAGATTGTTTTAAAAACGTGTTGTTTAGGAAGATTAATCTTATGCATTTGTTTTATTTCATCTAATAAATTGAATTTACCCATGACACAAATTATTGGTACGTGCATGTAAGTACGCGTAAATGCGATTTAATTTGTTTATGCGGAAGAGCGCCCAAAATAAATACACTTCGAACTCTGGAATTTCCCTATTTTACTGTTTAAATCATAGGTCCGCTCAGCTGACGAGTTGTTTTAATAACGGTAATAAATTATATTCAAGTCCTGGCCAGCGATCGTTACGGTTGGTGACATTGCAATTAAACAGGTCGATACTAAGGTACTAAGATACTAATGGGTGTATATATTTTCACCTAATATGTTTTCGTTGAGTGTTTTCATAAGAAGTAAATTGCTGGAGGATATCATGTTCTCCCTGATCACATCGATAGCGTGTAGAAACAGCGGTATATGAACACACGCTTTTGTGTACAAAGCAAACGTGTAAACCAAAAGGATGGGGAAAAAACGACGAAATAAAAACATTTCTCTATTAACTGAAATTATTGTCTTTAGACAGATAAAAATAAATGATTATCCGCCTGAGAACATGTGAAAATTATACCCAAATACAATGTAACGAAGGATTTTGGGTTTAATCCCGAGTACACAATTATAGCAATGATGTGTACATGTACATGCAGAATACCTCTTTTTTTATCCTTCGTCCATGTGTTCCTCCTTAACGGAAAAAATTATCAGTAAATTATATTATACCGAACGAGGTTGAAAAATGCCGAACTTTATTTCTTAAAATTAAAAGCAATTATCCGACTTTTCTCATATCACTGTAAAAATGCCGTGAAAACTAAAACTGTCTGGTTTGACTTTGTCAACGCGTTTTAGATCGGGTTTGAGATTTTTATTAAATGTCTGGAGTATTTCGCTTATTCTGCAAGTCCGTATAATGAAAGAAAACACTGACAGATTTAGAGGAAGTTCAGGGGGCCTGCCCCCACTGGCGGATTTAAGTGGGGCTTGGGGGCGCACGCCCCCCCCCCCCTAAAATTTTCAAAATATGACATGACTAATATTAATAATGCCATACTTTGATTTTATAATTAATGGTCAATTAAAAAATGGTAATTTTATTTTATGACCAAGTATCAGTTTTCTTAAAAATCAAGTCTGAAAACCTTGCATTCCCTAGGCTATGAATATTATCTCATAATTATTCAAAGCGGAAAACGTCTCCCGATTTCGTTTGAAGGGTAGACAGCACTTGTCAATTTCCTATGATGATGCAAAGAAAAATACTGCAATATTTAAAGGCTGGTCGAAGGTAAATAACATTCGGGAAACCTCGGCTGATTCCGTCACCTTCATCCAGATGCGGTACGAATCGGCCGAGGTGTGCCGAGTGAGGTAAATAAATGAATTTAAAATCAGAAGGTCTACGTTACAAACCTATCCACTGATTGATGTATTTATTTATCAAATGGTGTAACTATGCAGTAATTTACTTACATAGATACAAGACTTTTTTTTAACGTCAGGATATAGGTTAGGATGGTCACAGACGAGTGTAACTTCGACCACCTGGTTAATTTCGACTGTTCATAAATACCTTAAAATAATTTGTTTATAACCCATTATAGTGTACACACATCTATTTTATGCAGAAAGAAAATGCATTTTTCATATACAAATCAATGTTGATAATAATAGGCGAAATTTATTTCTTTACTGGAAAATTACATCCAAGAAGAAACTTTATCGCCCGAAAAATTACGGACGAGTATTTTTAAACCATTGCGGGGAATTATCAGTTTATCACCTCTAAAAATATCTTGTATATATAGAAAGACACAGTGGATATTCCTGGCGTGAACTTTATCAACTATGTTTAAATTTGCAACTTAAATTCATACCTTTTAAATTTATAGTATTTAGTTTTTACAAATAAAATGCAAATCAGCTGAACAGAAATCGGCCGAAGTTACCCTTTGCATGAATACGGCGTCAGCAGGTAACTCAGTTCGACCAATGAAAATGACGCAATGCTATTTGTTACCAGAAAAAAATCATGACCACCATCCGTATAAAAAAGTATTAGGATAATATTATGTACAAGAATACTCCGTAGAAACTAGTTCTATAACCGTGAAAAAATCATCTGTTTTGTTTACATGCGGTTTAGATGCCTGCGCATATATATATTTGTAGCATGCCTTGATAAATCGGTAAATTTGTCTCTAGGCACCTGGTGCACTTAATGTCTTCAAATTAGGTACATTTTGAAAATTGCTTTTTTTTTTCTTTTTGTCAGCATTTTTTCACAATCGTTTATGTTTTACAACAGAATATGTATTTTTTTTTAAATTAGAGATGACGCGAATAATTTCATTTATATTTGCACATCGATCGAAAATACCCCGTGTGCAGTTGAAGTTACCCAACACACATATCTTGTAAATCGAACACATTTATTTTATATCATGACGAATAATACATATAACACAATGTAATCTGAACAATAAAAGGTATTCCGAAGGAAAAATAATCCAGTAAATGTTGAGCGTAATACATGTAATAGGCAGTGACATACATGAACAAATCTAAATATAAAAAAAATAATCGGTCGAAATTACACCACCCTACCCTACAGTGTATCTGTCATATATGTATAATACTTATAAAAACAAACGTTGCAATATTTAATTTTTCAATATTCAGATATTCTTTGTGTATCATTGTGCTTCGTTTATTTCATACTGCTATAAAGGGAACTGCACGTTACAGCGTGTTTGTTTATATTGTTTCGTTGGCTGCGGTGGAGATACATGTGTAGGTCAGTGAATGGAATTTAAAAAAAAACAGCACTCTTTGGAATAACAT